CTCATACAGAAATGTTATTTCCATTTACCCAGTATTCAGTGCAAGTGCTTCTCAAACCATTTCTACTAGCAACTGATGGTTGCAGGCTTGATCCTGCTGCCCTCTTGTATTTGTAACTCTGATTGACGTGGATGGAAATTGCGCATGCATGAGAATTGCAGGAAATACATAAAAATGTGACAATTAAATAGTTGGGTTTTTTTTTTTTAAAAGTATGGCTGTATCTCTGTACATATAGAAATATAATGGATTTTATTGGAGTAGGTTTATGGACTGGCTGATTAGCCCCTCTGAACTAAATACATCTTGTCCATCACAGCAATCCATTTCTCTCCTTTAATCATATTATTGGAAGTGGAATAGTAGAGCCGGATCATTGAACCCGAGCAATAGAGTAATTTCAAACAAATAAAAACTTCAGAGCGTTGTTCTGTCTTTGCAACTCTTGCTAATTACCAGAGAGATATGCAGGTTACTGAATGTCCTGTATTCTCACTCTTGGCCTCTACCAGGAATCAGGATCTATTCCAACTTCTGACACAATCCCAGCTTAGTTTTCTTTTAAATCAGGCAATAATCTACAGTGAAGTAGACTTCCTGGCCATATTTGTTTTGGGGAGGTAACATAATCCAGTGGCTAGAACACAGGAGCAGAAGCTGAGTTCTATTTGCCTATGTCTTACTATGTGATATTGGGTAAAACACTCAATCTCTTTTTGATTTGGTTGATTCATGTATAAAATAAGGATAATAACTTAACCTTTCTAATTTACTTTGGGGCTTACAGTGTAAAGCTCTCAATAGTGTATCTGTTATGGTCATGCTCATCAATGAGAGTGAGACTAGTGTAAAGCAAAAAATGTGGTTGAGTACTTCTTTTGAAACTCTTTTCAGAATTAAATTGAAATGTTCGGACTGCTGTCAAAAAGAAAAGCTTTCTGAGGTTATGTTTAATGGGGAGAAAGTGGCTAATTTTGGTCTCTTTAAATTTTGTGGTGGAGAAAATATGGTGCTTTGATCTTTAAATGACAGCTTCCAGTGTCATTACATTGAATCAGTTAATCTCTCCCAGTAGTTACCTTGTTCTGGCTTCCTCATCTGCACCCTCTTTCATGGCCTCAATGTTGAGCTTCAGATCAATGAACAAACTGCTACTGTTTCCAACAGAGACTGTCTCGTGAGCCCTTCTGGTTTCATGCACTGCCAAGTTCTGACCTCAAATCTGGCAGATTCAGGATAAAGAGGAAAGAAGGTCCAGTTGTGTCGCAATGAATTTAAACCAGGCTGACTCTGCCATCTTTATTTACATTGCATAGGCCAATCAGTCACTTGACCTTGTCCTTGACTTGTCATTGAAGTGTATAGGCTACCACTTTTTATGACAGAAAAGTTTGCCTGAAGTGGCATTGGACTGTATATCTTGCTCCATCCTTCTTTCCAGGTGACATCTGAAGTTCAAGGCAGTTCAGCTCCCCAATACATATGAGCATCATCTCAAGTTTAAATCACCCCTTGCTATTCCATCTTGATTTTAGATAGACCTACAACCCTAGCAATAAATAAAACACTGAGTCCATAAAGTTCAGAGGGAACCATGCCAAATGAGACCTGGACTCTACTTTGTTTTTCATGCTGCTACTAACAGCATTGTGCCTGGTTTGCAATGTTTCATTCTCTATGCAATTTGCATTACAAGATAAAATACCTACTGTAACTTAGGCAGGGGCAGAATCTCATTCATGTATTGTACAGCCCCCAGCACAGCGTCAGTGCACAACACATAATACAGAATATTATCTGAGAGTCCTTTCAAGTATCAATATATAGCACACTGTCAGTGTGAGATTCAGATGCTGAAGAGTCAGAGGAGCAGCAGTGGTACTGCATGTGCTGATAACTTCCCATCCCCCTAGATGATGTTACATAGCGCTGTACGTTTTATTTAATGAATTTTATTGTATGCTGCTAAAGAACTTAAGTATCCAAAGTTCAGCAGTGACACACTAGCAGGAGCCTCGCCTGCACCAGAGCCAGTCTCCTGGTAACCCCACTGAGCACAGCTGGCCCTCATAGAAGCGATCGGATTGATTGCACCATCTGATTGGCTGAAGGAGTTAGCAGGCTGATCTCAGGCTCAATAGCAGCAGCAGTCCAGTGGCTGCTCAGTGCCTGCAGCTCCCACCCCAGCCTGTTCCTGCTCCAGCCCCCAACTCCTTCCTGACTTCTGACTCCCCAGCTCAGACCCTCAGCTCCATCTGCTGACTGCAACTGCAGTGAACCCTTCAGCTTAGGCTTTGGTTTCTGACTCCCAACTCCGATCCTCTACTAGGCCTTCTGACTGTGACTCCGGATAACCCTTCAGCTTAGCTTTGGTCTCTGTTTCCCAGCTACAACCTTTGACTTTGCTCCAGGACCCGCCTCATTTGGATTCAGCTTTAACTGACAGGCCAGACTGCCCAGGACTTGGTCACTGACTCATAAATCACCTCAGGAAACAAAGCAAAATCGGTACAAGCTGAACATTTTGAGGCAACTTAGAGGGTAATCCTCAAAGTGTCCCCAAACATATCACCTACAGTGCTTCTGTTAGAAGTCCTCTTCCATTAAACAGCCCAGACTAGTCAGTCCTTTGAGAGCTCACTTAAGACAGTTAAGGTTTAACTGTGCTAATGATTCAAAATAAAACACTTGAACTATGGTCTTACTCAGTCCTTATTTAGGCAGAACTCAAAGTGAAATCCAAACTTCAGGACTGGGCCCTATAGTAGTTACAAAATATAAGTATGGCTGTGGAAACATGATTTTCCAAAGTGGGTCAGACCAGTGGGCCATTGAATCTGGTATGCTGCATACTTCAGTGACAAATATGAGTCTCCCGTGGAAAGTGGCCTCCTCCTCCCCTCCTCACACATTCACAATGCATCGGGTCAGCTGTGCTGTAATGTTCCTTCCTGGATCTGGGAAATTACAACACAAAATACACTAGCCTGGCTGTTTTCTATCTACATTTTAAAATGAAACCTGCAAGCTTTATATTACCCATGCTCCTATACTTTTTAAACACAGGGGAAAAAGTACATCAGCTCCTCCAAAAAGAGATTTTGCTCTTTTGCATAAAGGAGGGTGATAGTAATATATCTTTCTAGTAGATGAACTAGGAAAGATGCAAAATCTTCTTCTACCTTCTGCTACCTGCTAGCATTGTTTTCCTTGTGATGTTGTCTTCATTTCCTTAATCATATGTAAGGAATGACAGAAATCTGAATAGCACACTTGAAACCTAGCCAGAGTAAAACCTTTTCTTTGTTGACATGGGTAAGCTTGTTTGTGTTCTCATAAATCAAGACTGCCCTGTTTATAATTCTGTGTTTAATAATATTCCAGAATTTGTTATCAAAGATCTTCAGCTGTCTTCAAAATTCTGCTGCCAAGATCCTTGCAAGTATCAAGGCTCAAGCGTTCCTCCTGTTCTTAAGATCTAACATTAGTTACTCCATGGTGGTATTCCAGATCCTTTCAAAAACACGCTATGAATCCAGCTCCTTTGTACTCTGGGCATGTGTTAGTATGTGGAGTCACCATTTTAGAGGGACTCAGTTTTGAGACTGGAGAGAATTAGGGAGCAGGTTGCTCAATTGATCAGCACCTCCACTAAAATATTTTCGTATGATTGTATTATAAAACAATATTATTTTGTTTGTTTATTTTGTAACACACACAGCTTGAGCTGGCTGTTCTCCATTCATATTTTCTAAGGCTCAGGCCTTAGCTTTGCCAAGTATGGGTGAAGGAAAGGCAATGGAGGCACTAAGCCACTTTTCTGCCTCCCCCTATTCTGGAGATGCACTGGGTTGAATTGGCTTCTGGCACAAGCTAGAACAGTCACAGAGCTAGTCTAGTTTACACCTTGAGGGTCCCCGTGTAGAAGGAGATGATAGTGCTGAGCCAGCCAGGCCAACTTCACACCACTGGGAGAATCCTAATAGGGGAATCTTCAGTTTCCTCTTGAGGGCAGCTTTAAGTCCACTTTGTACTGTTGCAGTGGCACAAAGAGGATTTAATCTGGACCTAGGGCCCATTGTATGTATTATCCCTATCTGGTTGACATGTCTGTGAACTCACAGCACGATCTAGCTCCCATTGGAGTCAGCTAGTTCAACTGGAGTTGGATCAGACCTGCAGACTGGATACGGACAAGCCTATATCAAGGTACTAATTAATCAGGCAAACATAAAAATTATTCACACTGAAAGTTGAGTAAGACTGCAAGAAAAATAGGGTTTTGTTTAAATTTGTTGTCTTGGAAAGACCGATTTATATGTAAAGCGATAGATGTAATATGCAAAGCAACATATACATATAGTAACAATACATATTATTGTAACTTATTACTGAAAATAAAAACATATTAATGGTATGGGTGGATGTTTTCTTAGCATGCCCTGATAGGTAAAACGATGAGCTTTTACTGATAACAACATATAATAGCAGAATATGGTACACATATATACCACCCAGTACATTACAATACAAGAGTGAGAGGGAGTGTGTGTGTGTATATAGTAATTAAGACCGCATTACAGTAGTATCTGAGCATCTTGCAGTCTTCCCTATATTTATCCACACCAATCCTATGAGGTAGGGAAGTATTATCCCATTTGACAGATGGGAGCTGATTTAAGCTACAGAGTGATTAAAGAGTAGATTTTTAAAAGCAAAAATGGCATATAAACACCTACTGTCCCTTTGAAATTTAATGAACAGTAGGTGCCTATCTGCAGTTCATGCCTTTGAAAATCTATCCCAAGTGACTGGCCTACATTCACATGTGAAGTCTGCAGCCAAACTGGGAACTGAACCCAAGTCTCTTGAGTCCCACATTTTTCTCTCTAAAGGAAGAAACAACATCTTATTGTCACCGTTGTGCCCATTTTAATTATGTTATTTCTGTGTTGCCATTGCCAGTAGGTCGAATTCTAAGAACGCCTTTATTTTCTCAGGTCTCTTGGAAACTTCCTCTCATACCGAATGGAGAAATGCTTAGCTATGAGATCCGCATGCCTGATCCTCGAATTACCATCACCAGCAACATTTCATCAATGCAAAACCATGTGGTGACGAACCTGATCCCTTTCACAAATTACTCAGTCACTATACTAGCTTGTTCTGGAGGCAATGGCTTCCTGGGAGGCTGCACAGAGAGTTTACCTACACATGTGACTACCCAGCCAACAATTCCTCAGGGCATTAGCCCCTTGTCTGTGACTCCAATAAGTGAATCATTTATTGCTATTTCCTGGCAACTGCCCTCTAGGCCCAATGGACCACACTTGAGGTAAGGTATAGCAATATGTAACTTAAGGGTGGGTGACACATCGCAGGACTTCTGGAAATGTGCACACCCAGGAAATGGAATTCCATGCCTCTGTTGATCCATGGGGTAAATATACTTCAGCGTTTAATTCACAAATGGGACCAGAGGCTATCCTCGGCTTACCCAGATCCAGCCCAGAGAATTGCCAGCTTCGTGGCATGCTCTCCCACTTTTTTCAGACCCTGTGGAAGCCGCTCGCTGAGATTCAGGCTCCATGGTGTGGCTGCAGGGCAAGCAGAATTTTCCTGTATTCTCAGGCACTCAGCCAGCGGGGCAAACTATTTTGCGTTATTGCTGTCTGAGTCAGCATTAATTTGTACAGGTTCTACCTCTGCACTGTGGAAATCCAGCTGAAACACCACAGTAAAGAGGGGAATGCATTGTAGCTGTCAGAGCACTGTCATCCAAGAGGCTAGAATGAAACAGCAGGAAGGCAGGATACAATGCAAACCCAGCTCTAACACATATAGCCCTGAACTCCCTGTGCCTCCTGGGATCCATGCAGATCTCAGGGGAGTCATAGGTTTTGTGGGCTGAAACAGCTGCCAGTTTTTAGTGGTGGTTTAGGGGAACAGACCACCACTTGGGGAAGAATTAGAAGAAAACTCAGAGTATAAACTCAGGGAGCCCTCAGTACCCTATGCAGGTTAGTCCTACACAGGGGAAGACGGGGCTATTTATAATTTGGTGAGATGAAATGTTCTTCAAAATTGAAGATTATTTTGTGTTTGGTTCATGGTGGTGTATATGATGAATAGATTGTGGATGAGTGGAGGAGAAAAGACGCAGCAAGATTCCTGGGAGCTTCAGAGCAGGGGCAAGACAGAAGTGGGTTGATCAGAGGAAGGCAGGCAGGACAGTTCCTTGAAAGATGGGGAAGAACCCCCTTCGGTGTGATCTTGTCCTGGGAGCTGGACAGGAGTACATGCAGGGTTGGATATTGACTTGAATCCGTGCTTTGCCATTTATAAAATAAATGAAATCGACATCCTTCATTCACGTGGCGTAGGGCATCACACAGACTTGTCCATGCGTTGAGGCATTCGATATTTTACTTTATACCTAGCACACTTTTACAGGCGTGTATTATTGCACCGCAGCAGCATCCACAGCTTCCTTCCTGTTTTTCTTAATGCTTAATTAGAGCACACTACTGCTGAATGAATCCTATTGCATCAAGATATTTGAAACCTTTGAAAAGCAATGTACATTTCTCTGAAGTCAACAACATGACCATTTTACCATTGATGACTGAAGTAATTCAACATGAGCTACAGCTGCAAACTTCATTTCCTTCATGGTGTGCCATGCTGCTCTCAACCAGAAACACCACTAAAGCAGCTGCTCAGTACGGCATGATGGAGAAAGAAGTCTGCAGCAGCAGCTGCCAGGGAGTGTGATTTACACTCCATCACCATCCAACGTTCAAAAAGATGTTGATGTTTCTTACGATTTGTCTTTGAATTATATTGAACAGAATTTGCCAGGGCTTTATTTAATAAAATTGTTATGTTTTGTTTTTGGATTCCCAAACATTGATAACCCTTGATGCAAAAGTTGTTCTTTGGGTATGAAGTCATCAGAACATTTTGGTGAAATTACAACTTAATTAAGTTTTATTAATTACTCCAGTTAAACTCCCAGATACTATAGTGATGGGTGCTTTTGAAATGTGTGATATACTGTTCCTCATTCACTCAGAAACGACCAGGCTTGGATAACCTAAAATGAATCTTAAATGTCGTCTCACAAACTGCAAACTCTGCAACTAGATGCAGAGAAGGCATTTGACTCAATAAAATGGTCAGACCATTAAAAACTCTGATTCTTTCTTTCAAATGAAAGCAGGATGAAACACTTCATTATCCATTTTCAAAGTATATTGGTAATTGAATGTTTTAAACCTGGAAATATTAAAAAGTTTATCTGAGAAACTTTACAGCTGTAAAAACAAAATAACGTGTGGCTTTAAAAAAAACAACAAACAATCCCCCTCCCCCCAATTTTTGTGTAATAACATTAGTTGAGATAATCCCGGTGTTCTGCTTGTCTTTTGTGTTAGATATGAGCTCCTGAGACGTAAAATCCGGCAACCACTTGCATCAAATCCCCCTGAAGATTTAAATCTGTGGCACAATATTTACTCAGGAACTCAGTGGTTTTATGAAGATAAGGGTCTTAGCAGGTGAGATTACAAAAACTATAAAAAAACAAATGCTGGCATTTTGTATAGTGCATGTTCAATAGTTCAAAGTGTTCCTTGTGTCTTTATGTTGTGAACATATTAATTGTGTAATGAAACATTTTCTGTCATCTTGGCATTAACCATTCTGACATGCATGGGTTTATTTTTATTTTGTCGCTCTTGAATCTCACACATAGTATCTTGCTGTAAAAATTCAAGTGAAATTGACTATATGAAGTGAATTTTGAGCTTTGATCTGTTCATACAGTCAAACCGTTTACATTCACTGTAAATCACGGTGTTGGCACATCACGCGCAAGCTGAGTGAATGGTTGAGAAGTTCTATTTCGGATGGATTAAAGCTTGGTGTCAGAGCATTATTTTTCAATCCATTTTTTAAATTGCCAACATTGATTATTGTCTCAATATTTCCAAACTCAGCATCAGATATTTAAAGCATTCCTAGCTTTAACTTAATTACAGCTTTGTGGTGACTACCTCAGTAGTCTATACTTATGTCACGGAGCCATGCGATCTGGTCTATCCCCCAACCTGTAACCAGTCCCTTGGGAGTGACCCTTTTAGTGTGCCAGCCCCCAACGGTCTACACAGTTCTGCTGGGGCAGGCCCGCAGCCTCTACAACTCTGAAACTGTCTTTAGATGGCAGAGATACTTGTTTCTCTCCATAGCTCCTTGCAGGATATCCAGCCAAGCCAGAGCCCTGTGGGAGGTTTGTGTTGTACCCTTCCAGTGTGCAATGCACTTAGTAAATATTTGCAGCAACACAAGGCAGCTTTTTCCCAAACAAGATAATTTATTAATCACCTGAGATACAGAATCTTAAATCATTAGATTAGCCTAGAGAAGCAAAGATTAAGACAGAGACATCCTGCCAAGCTGATGTAAAATCCATCTTGGCTCTCTCTCTGGGTAGGTCTACTCATGCGGTGGTGTGTAGGGCAGTGGTTCTCAAAGCTGGTCCGCCGCTTGTTCAGGGAAAGCCCCTGGCAGTCCGGGCCGGTTTGTTTACCTGCCGCGTCCGCATGTTCGGCCGATCGCCGCTCCCACTGGCCGCAGTTCACTGCTCCAGGCCAATGGGGGCTGCGGGAAGCGGCACAGGCTGAGGGATGTGCTGGCCTATGCTGCAAGACCGAGCCATGTTTTAAACATCTGAAGACTGTTGCATTTTAATAGGTTCCCTCAATAGGTTCATTTGTAGTGTGTATAGCACCAAAGAAGCCAACATTATGGCCCTGACTCTTCAAAGATAGTGGGGCTTTGCCTGCATCATTCTTTATGTACAAGAGCACTGTAACTTCCAAGGAAGTAGTATGGAACATGTGGCAATGAGAGGCAACTAGTCGGAGGGACACAAAGGAGCACCAGCTAAAGGGTGCATGACCCCCCCCCCCCACGTGACTCCTCCCTGCCCCGTTCCTCACGTGACTCCTCCCTATCCCGCTCCCCACGTGACACACACACACACACACACACACACCCCGCGTGGCCGGAGGCTGCCTGGGAGAGTGCAGCAGCTGCGTGCCACACCAGGCACCATGGCTGGAAGAGGAGAGACTCTGGCCCTGCCTCTTCCCTTCCAACTCTGGCCCTGCCCCTTCATCTCCCCGGCTGCCGGCCTTGCCCCCTGCCCCAGCATTTTGGGGAGGGTCATGGGGCCCTTCGCCCCCCCCCCCCCCCCCACACACACACAGAGTCGCCATTGCAAGTGACTGAAATATTGGAGACAGTAATTAGAATGCACTTAGGGTGACCAGAGGGCAAGTGTGAAAAATTGGGACGGGGTGGGGGGTAATAGGTGCCTATATAAGAAAAAGCCCCCAAAATCGGGACTGTCCCTATAAAATTGGGACATCTGGTCACCCTAAATGCACTGATGATAGCAGATGTTGCACCAGCTTTTCAAAAGTGTTCATCACCACAACTAGGGTCAGATTTTCAAAATAGCTCAGCTTTCATTTGGGCACCTAAATGAAATAGATTTTCAAAAGGTCTCAGCACCCACTTGCACCCCTGCTTTTCAATAGGAGCTGCTGAGGGCTCAGCTCTTTTGAAAATGTGGCTATTTATTTAGGTGCCTAAATGAGAGTTGGTGAATGCCAAGGTGTTTTTAAAATCTGGCCTGGTATCTGTATTAAATAACATGACACAGTAGAGAAAAAGAGCACAGGAAATTCATATTTTTCCAATGCAGCCTCCACATATTGCGTATTTACTGTATGTTCCACTATCATGTTGATAGAGGTATATTTCATAGTGATGTTACTAAAATCAAGGGTTGGATTAGAGTATCCTATCTTTTTCTGATTATGCAGATTTTAATTGTTTTCTTGTTTTTATAATACAAATAACCGATTACAAAATCCTACGTGTATATATATTGACATACCTTTTGAACAGCAGAAGAAACTATGGTGTGATAGTTATTTCCTCTATTCAATATACATTTGGCTTCTGACAATACCTCATGCATATGCTGAATATGTCAGAGTACAGTTCTGGAAGAAATTATGAACTGGGTTTGCAATCTTAGTTGCTAGCCCCTGGCCCAGATCGTCAAAGGTATTTAGGTGCCTAACTCCCACTGATTTCTTTGTTATGTTTTGGGAGGGTTATTGCAGGACAGCGGGTGTATGAAGAATAGCTATCACAAGCGAGATTCTGGAATTTGACATTGAATTTCCGAAAAGGGGGGGGGAGGGGAAAGCCTCATTGGATTAAATTTGGATCCAAACTTTGGCAATTTGCCATTGCTGTAATTACATCCTGAATTGAGTAATAATGTCACACCACCCCAGAAATAATAAATATAAGGAAATGAAATATAGTATTTTGTATTTGTTAGCATGTTAGTGTTAGCCACGTCTTTCTACCAAACACACGATTCTATTATAGATTTTGTATATGCTGAAATAATGCAACAAGGTAGCTTTTGAGAAAAAGCAAGCTTTGTTTGACACAGCTGGAAGGACAATGCTAAATGTTTTGTATGTCTGTGATAAAATACATATTTTCTTCTTTTGTAATTATTATTTTAAAAATGTCTTAGGTACACAACATATGAGTATAAACTCATAGTACACAATGAGGTAGGATATACATCAAGTGAGGAAGTGATTGCTACTACGTTAGCAGGATTTCCGGAGAAGGGGAGTAGCCTCACTGTGCGAACTGTTAATCATACGGCTATAGAAGTGGAATGGTCAAAACCAAGTAAGTGACCTTAGTATTTATTACGTTAATTAAATATTAACCTGTCATCAGTTATGGTGATCTGCATTGCACTGTCAGGAAACAAAATCCTTATCTTGATCAACTGTTGCACTCACTGTCTCTGAAAGGGCCCTAACGGAAGCGGAAAGAACATGGAAGTCACATTTCTTTTTACTATACATTATTTTAATGAGGGGTGGGGAAAAAGAGAGAATTTAAGCCTGTGGAGGTTCTTTAAAACCTATAAAGAAAGAGTACACAATGTTCTGTTATCTTTGTGTATATTTTCATCCCTTTGTATGAGGATTTACACATTCCTTCAGGATGAGTGAAAATCTGTCTGTCTACTTATTCACTTATGTTCTGCCTCTTAACATGAAGACCTACCATTACAGTAGTGGTAAACTTCATGCCTTACATGCAGATGATTTTGTAAGGACTGACTGGCGATGCTCAATAAATACAGGCTCTTTGTTTTATAATTGCATGCCTGAAGTAAGCATGCTTATAAAACCTGACAAACATAATAGATCTGAAGCAGCTCACTGAAGTTTCATTACCTTAGTAATCTGAACCTCTGACCTTCTACATGTAGGTAATGCAATCTGGTTTTATTTTCATTCATACTTAAAAAATTTCCCAGGTATCTGTTTGTGAATGCAAAGGTTAAACATCAAGTGAGGGTCATTAATAGAAAGCCTTGTTGCATTATCATCTTATTTCATTGCTAAATATGTTACACTACGCAGATTAACTATTCTGTCTCCCTATAACGTTTCTTATTTTTGTAATATTCATTTTTAAATCATTCTCTTGGTTTGTCAGTACCTAGGAAGACGTGAAGATAACTTGCCCTGATATCCTTCTATTAGACTCTAACAATAGAGTAATTAGAGGGAAAATATACTGAGAATGACTGGCTTTTAGGGACGTAGGGCCTGATCCTACACCACTGAAATCAATGCAAATGGAAGCAGGATCAGGCCCTTAATTATGAACTTCTGCCACCAAACAGTGTGTAATCTGAAAACATCTTTGTCTTCAACTTTTGATGATGTCATCATTTTATATCTCAGCAGGCTAGGTTGTGTTCACCTGGAAGAGCTATTGATATTTTGCCACTATCCTTCACTACAATGCAGTGTATCATAAAGTGACATGTTCCATTTAAAGCAATATATATCAGGGCTAGTCAAAATGTTTTTTTTAGTTTGCCAGCTGTGGAAATGGAGTGTTGTGGCTGATCTGAAGTTGCACTGTTTACCATTGATAAGATAATTGCTCCCCCCCCAAGTCACTAAATGAGAGAAGGTTTCAGGAAGTTTACAGGAGGTACATGGAATCCCCAGTTTCATAGCTGACCCTGTCCAATGAATGTTCCTCTAGCTTGCAGCTAGTGATAGTGTACTTGGTTCGGAAGCATAGACCTGTCTTTCTAACATCAGAGAAACATGTTAGTATTGGAGACAAGACACAATTCAGAGAGAAATATGGCTTATAAATGCATCTGTAGGAAAACAGCTTTATTGCACATATATACCCAGCATAAGATCGGCCATACTGGGTCAAACCAAAGGTCCATCTAGCCCAGTATCCTGTCTTCCGATAGTGGCCAATTGCCAAGTGCCCCAGAGGGAATGAACAGAACAGGTAATCATCAACTGATCCATTCCCTGTTGCTCATTCCCAGATTCTGGCAATCAGAGGCTAGGGTCCATCCCTGCCCATCCTGGCTAATAGCCATTGATGGACCTATCCTCCATGAATTTATCTAGTTCTTTTTTGAACTATGTTATAGTCTTGGCCTTCATGACATCCTCTGGCAAAGAGTTCCACAGGTTGACTGCTGCTACGTTAATGGTCTAAATACTAAAGGCCAGATTCTCATTTATACCAAAGCCCCTTTCCACCTCTCTAGCAATGTAAAGGAGCCTTAAAATGCACATAAATTACATTCACACCCACTTTAAGGTGACTGTGCACTGTCAGAGTGATGTGAAGGGGATTTGGGTAAATAAGACTTAAGCCCTGTATCTTAAATTAGTACCACAGGAGAGCCTGATTCTGCTCCCCTCACTCACCCCCTCTGTGAGGCTAGGCATAAAGCCTATGCACCACTTGAGTAGCAAATTTCACCTATTAATTAGTACCTTATTCCACAGGGAGCCCTATTAATTTTGATGAGGCTATTCGCAGAGAAATATACTAGTATATACCAGTATAAGTAAAGATGCAAAATCAAGCAATGAAGGTTTGGGGCAAGTATGGAAGAATACTGTTATTTCTATTTATATGGGGGCAATTTCTGAAGAATACTGTAGTGTTTTTAATAAGGGTAGATATCAAGGAACATTGTTTAGTCGGCAAAACAAATTCCATTGATAAGAACATGTATTTTCCATTTAATAACAGAAATCTACTGAATGTGTCCCCTTTAATCTCCCAGACATTTATTGATGTTTCTTTCTTTCCCAGAACTGCAAGATTTGCAAGGAGATGTTGAATATTATATCCTCTTCTGGAACTCCACTACGTATAACAATTCTCTGAGCATCCAGGCCAATGTAAACTATGCTGTCATTGGCGACTTGCATCCCAACACAGAGTATCAGGTTTTTGTTCAAGTTTTCAATGGCGTCCACAGCATCAACAGTGAAGTGGTGCATGTGACTACTTCAGATGGAGGTTGGTTCGTCCTGAAAGCAGCTTGGCTTAAAATCTGAGAATGAAATTGATTGATTTTTGTTTGGGTTGAGATCAGTCATCCTTTCATTATAAAAATTTCCGGTATAAAAGGAAAAAGGGCTAAAACGCTAAAATGCTTAAGTGCTAGTTGTCATCAAGTGGCAGATCAATAAAATGTCCCACTGAGACAGAAGCACAAAGCTCTAATAGCGGATATTAACCCAGTTTGTTCTCATCTTCCTTTGTGTACTACGATCTATGTACACTATATTTGGAATGGAGTTCATGTCAATAAATGGTGAAATTTAAAAACAATTAATGGTTTTTAAAAAGATTTGCTCTGTGAAGCGGTGTGCTTTTGACATGACAGTCAAATGCAGGACCTTTCCTGAGTCACCAGAAATGTAAGGTGCAAGTTCAGCCTCTGAGAAAATTTCCCTATGAGTCATTTCCAAGCCAGTTGGCTGGCAGGGGAGAGAAAAAAACACTTGTGAATCTGAAATGTGTTTGGAATGGTCTTTCTAATCTTTTTGGCTTTATAAAGTCTCATTATAAACATTATAATATCATTATCTCAGAAGCAAGTGTTCCAGGTCATTAGCAAAGCACTTTAAGTGAGGATTCCATTTCCTTGGTGATGCCAAAGGTCAGCACCTTTTGTTTATAAAATAGAATTGATCGCAAGGGCAATTTTTCAACTGGTTAAGATGGGCTCTTAGGATAAAAATAGGTCTTTGCATAGTTATTTCTGACATGCTTTAATAATTGTGTAATTTAACGCTAAGGAAGTTTTTTTTTTTTTAGCATTAGACTTCATCATTGCCTATGGTAATCAACATTCAAAACCATTTACATAATGACAATATTGCATATTACTTCATATTGCTTGACTTACAAGGCTCAGAACATCAAAGAATTTGTCACGTTCCACCAGACGCAGTGTATTTTTGTGTTAGTTTTTGCTTGAAAAGCAAAATTGCATCTTTTTTGAGAGGGGATGGGGGGCATAAAAATAATAACTGTGTGTTGGCAGTACAGATAGGTGAATAATTTATCATCATATCCCACTGGTCACATACCATTGAAGATTAACACTATGCTGGTGGTATAAAGCATTTTACCACCAACTCTCATGGTTTCTAACTGAGAGTATAATAAGCCAATTTACAGAGAACTACAGACTGTGATAACTTCATCAGAGGAAAGCAGATAAGCAGTGAACCCTTTGCTAAACCTAAATACTAATCTGCATTTGGTTAAACAAGTGCTTTTACAGAGACAGCTGGAGTTTATTCAGTTTCTTCCTTTATTTCTAGAGCCTGAGGGCATGTTCCCTCCAGAGGTTGTCATCATCAACAGTACAGCTGTACGTGTCATCTGGACATCGCCTTCAAACCCAAATGGTGTTGTCACAGAGTATTCTATCTATGTAAATAATAAGCAGTACAAGACTGGAATGAACGAACCTGGGTCCTTTCTTTTAGGAGACTTGTCTCCATTCACTATATACAATATACAGGTCAGAACAATTTTGTTTTGCAGGCTGTGCAACTTGTATTAATTTTACATAAAATATGTGTAGTTCAGGGCAGAATTATGAATATAGGGACACACACGTCTGTATGGATACAGGGCTGGAAGTGACCTCTCTCTCTCTCTCTCTACATTTCTATGAGTCAATGATAGAGAGATGAATACATGCCATGAATGTTTGTATCTTTATATAAAAAATACAAATACACAAATAATATATATATTATTTATTACTATTATATAATTTAGAGACAGTATAGATTGGTTCATATATGTATTTGTAGACATATATTTTTACACACACACATTTATTTTCAGCATAATTTTGGGTCCATATACAATTTTCATATTTCCTCTTTTCACCCTCAGAACTCCATTTGATTTCACCTAAATTCCATATGCTATGACATTAGCAAAGCCCCAGTATATATATATTACAAGGAGGAAAAGAGTCTACTCCTACTCATTAAAAGAAAATTGCAATTGTTTTAGAAACATCAGGCATGCATAATATATCAGCACAGAGAAATAATGATATTGCATTTGTCATCCTTTTATCATCTTTTTCCCCCTCCTCTTTCTGTGGAGGAAGCAGCACTGAGCCATGAAATCATAATGGTACTTTCTTATGCTGTTGAGAGCGACATCTTTTTCTTTCTGTCTGTCTCTGACTCCCTCTCTTCAGATATCTATCAAAAGTCAAAATGCTGTAGGCATTTCCTAGAATATAAGTTCAAGGAAAAACAAATATTTATCTATTTAGTGAATTGTATTGATACACTTTAGAAAGTGCAGTTTGCTGGCTCCTAATTGTAACTATCCAGACTTAGGTTGCGTTATGTATGGAAAGGTCTTAGTAGTAGTCGTGTATACTCTGTTCTAAAATTTGCATCCAGTTACTACATGCCATAAATAAACGTCACAGACAGACACTCCATAACAGATTTCTATGTTCCAGCCCCTCTGTAACAGCAAACCTCCATCCATGAATACACATATGACTTTCCCAATGCTTCTTGGAAGCACATTTGTCAATGGTAATGCAAATTCAGAGTACTGCCACACTTATGGACTCTTAGTATTAATATACCATAGCCACCTTCTGTTGCTTGCAATATTAATTGTTTTCCTCTGTAGCACTTCAGCTTTCCCAATCTTTGTATTGGGCCAACGTTCAGAACAATCTACTAGGTAAAATCAGACTATTCAGCTGGGATCTTTTTTTGATGTATCATTTCCCCCTCCCCACCATGCACCTTGGAAACAACATCTGGATGTGTGTCTGTCTGACTGCTTATCTTCATGTATGAGCTCTTGTTTGTTTCTGCTGCTGTGTATTGCATGACCTCTCTGTTGCTAATGTAGGGGTGACATTACCATTCTTCACTTGTCATCTTTTTTCTATCTATTTAGATTAATCTCAGGAATTGAAGGAGTAGGTGGTTATTTTCTTGTGAGATTTTTAATAGCAAAATATATTATTTGTATAGGATTTTTCATCTTCAAAGTACAGTACAAACATAAAATAAACATCCTTGTGAGGTAAAATTGCCCACGTTTTACAGAGAAGAACCTGATAGACACTGGAAGGTGAAGTGACTTGTTTTAGGCCAGGCAAGAGATGAGAGTCAAAATGAGAATTTAGAAGTTTTTGATCTCCTAGTCCATACTGTTTCTCAACATTATATGCCAGAGTCTACTGTTACGAACATCAATACAAACCTGCAGTAACTGTATTGACTCCTGTGTAACTGAGAGCAGAAGTTAGCACCAGATATATAAATATAGTCATACCCAGGACAATAAAAGAGCACAATATCTGAGCACTTATCTTAAAATTATATTTTCCTGGTTATGTAGAATTCAGTGATCGGGAGGAAAAACTACTTTAAGGGGGGCAGGAAGGCTAAACAAGTAACAGTGTTAGTTAACTTCTGCAACTGGATTTTTACAAGTATCATTCTTTTGCACCAAGGTTGAAGTCTGCACAGCGTACGCTTGTGTGAAAAGCAATAAAACCCAAATTACAACTGTGGAAGATGAGCCAAATGAGCTGTCAGCACCCATAATACACGTTCTCAGTCCAAGGTACTGTACTGTATTTGTTTTTCTTAAGTCACAACTACTTGTAGCCACAGTGAAAAATATAATTTGAGGATATGTCCCTTCATTTCAGAATAAGGAGCATTAGAAAAATTAAAATATAGTTATAAGATCTTCCTAATTTCTTTGCTAGTGGTGGTCATTTTTGCTATTAGAGTTATGGCCAGCTGAGCTACTAAAAAAAAACCTCTCATGTTTAGCTGGCTGCATGTACCTGGTTATTGGTCATCCATTTGTGATATTACTGAATAAGAGGCAATATAAATGTAAGGCAGCTAAATGAAGGTATGTGGGAGAATGAAAATCATCAAACTTACTGTTCGGTAAGGGGAGGGGAATGAATGTGGAAAAGAACCATTTGAGACTGATAATGGAAGCTAAGGTAACTGTGAGAGAAACAGTCACACATCATGACAATAAGAATTAATAAACCATCTTAAAAGGTGTGTGTGTGTGTCTGTGCCTCCTGTCTGTTTGCAATCTGCATCTCCTCTCCCCCCCACCCACTCATGGACAAACTTCTCAACAGTAATAATAGTGCCAGGCTGGCAGACTCCAGAGGCAGCCAAGTAGTGACATACATGGTAATTTTTTCTTTAAAAGAACCATGGTGGGAACTAACATTTTCCAAAGGAGAGGCTATAACTAATGGACATACAGTGCCAAAACATTTATCAAAATTACACCAACCATAAAACAGCCTCCTGCATGTATGTTATTGTTGGTGTGATTTTATTACACTTCTGGGCATGGAGGGCCTGTTAGCTATGTTTCTTTTGCAGAAACAACAACATTATCTTTTAAATAACTAAAATCTAATATCTAAGCCTTCAGAAATGGTCAGCGGAATGGATTTACTCTCCCAATATTTAAAAGGAATTTCTGTTTGCTGTTTATCATTTCTACATTTTCCTTGAATTCTATATTTGTCTCTGAATAAGGTAATCATTGGGTGAAATTAAGCTTGCTATTTTTCTGTCACACATACAGATACAGTTAAAGCTTGTTTGATGATGAGAACTCAATTCAGGATCTCATCTTTTGCCCTTGGCTTTAACTTTATGTATGCCTTTGTCTGTATTGTCTGTACTGCAACACTTATGTGTGTTTCTGCTATTATTTACAAACTAAATATGTCATAACACATGAGTGCAAAAAGATCAGAAATACCTTCCAATTTTATAATCTGTTCAGCCAGAAACAGACTGTTTCTACATTGCCTTTCCGTACATGTCATATTATCATCAGCTGTTCTTATATCCCAAAAGAATACTAACTACTGATCGATTGCCCGGACATGTCTGGCCGTGGCCTACATGTGCCCCGGGTAGTTCATTTATTTGCCACGGTGGATTTGCTAGAGTGGAATTTAATCAATAGCTAATTCATTAATTCTGGTCCTCGAGTATGTAGGGACTGTGCAGTATAAAAATGGCTGGCTGGCTTCAGCTTTGATTGAAATATGACAAACACAGCAGCTGACAGCTTCAGCAGGTGCTGGACTGAATATGAATTTTGCTTATTTATCCTCCATATCGGAATAAGCTTAGGGGGAAAATTCCAGTTTGTATAAACAAAAGGACATTTTAATATGTATCTGCCAACAGACAAAAAAAGGGCATTTCTAGAGTATAGGCTCATGAGAAGGATGAGATATAGCACAGATCATGCAGTTTATTGTCTTTAATTGGAACCCTGGCAGTTTCTCCACTTCTGAATCAGTTTCGGGGGCTGTATTATTGATGAGAAAGCTGTAGGATAATGTCTTTGTAGCATTCACAAATAATTGTTTTCAAATTTGCCTCCAGGTGTTGTATGACATAAATTATAATTTCACCCACCAACTTTTTAGAAGTCTTTCTGATAGCAGCTCTATCCAGGCTGTTCTAATGAAGGTTATACCACCATCACCATTATGAATATCTTCTTTCCCCACCACCCCCGACAGTAACTCAGCTTCAGGCTGAAACTTGGTACAAAATGTTACAGTCCAACATTTATTCATTTTTTTAATGCCAGTCTTGAAACACAAAACAGTATGGAACCCATTCGTGAACTCCTTGTTCAGTTTTTTCTCAGTTCTTATTCAGTCATAATTCCCATTGCAATCAAGGGTGCAGTTTGCCTGAGTAAGGAGCTCAGGATTAATCCCTATGTGAGAGCATTTAATTTCAGTACTAGAAGCATGCAGCTCTTCTCTCACCATGCCATCCACTTTCCAGCTGACTACTGGGTTTGGGTAGTGGACTAATCACTTTCTCTGTTTTGAAAATCAGTTTTCGTTTTTTTAAAAACAGATTTCTTTCTTTCTTTCTTTCTTTCTTTCTTTCTCTTTCTTTCTTTCTTTCTTTCTTGTGTTTCAAAGGTGATAAACTCAGCCTTCCTGAAAAGTACATAATGACTGTGTTGCTTAATAACAACTCTGACCACTCCAGACAAGTAAGGGACAGTGCAGATGAACCCTATTGGGGGTTCCATCCTGTTCTGAACTAAGAGGTTGGTGGCTGTGATAAGGAGCCTGAGGGCTAGGGGCTACACTACAGAGAAATCCTCAGAGCTGTCTGAAAGAAATGAAAAGCCCCTTAGGTGCTTTTGGGGGAAGCAGAACTTACAGGTGCACATGTGGATTATAGACCCAGACCATGACAAATGAGAGGGAATTATCCTGAGGATCTGTGATCTTCAAGCTAAAAATTCTCTAATAATAAATACTTAGCTGTATAACACTTATAACCTGTAGCTCTTCCCAGTCCCAGCAAGTCTGTGTCTTGGTTATTGTGTGTCGTACTGTGTCCCTAAATATCTAAGTCCTGTTGTCCTTGATACAAAAGACTCCCTCTGCTATGAAGAAGTGGTGGTAGAGAGACAATAATTCAATATATGTGATCCCTAATTAGAAATTTATTTGCCCCAATGATCATTACTGGTAACAGTGTTCCCATCTTTTACCATTTTATTGTGAATCTCATCATTTTTGGTATTTTTCTTAAGTCCCCCACTCCCAAAGTCAGTTGTTTGTGTGAGAATCTAAGATTTTTTTTTTAAGTAAATGTCTAGCCCTCATCCTTGAGGAGAAAAGCTTAAAATATGAACCCTAAAGACTCTAACATCAGAACCCCCAAATTACTTGTTTTTAAATCTCATAATGTTTAAGACAAACTTATGATTTTGGGCATGGGTGGGGCTGGCTTATGATTTTTGGATCCTTGGGGTTGTTGATACTATAATAATCAAACTCCTAATAACTAGAGCTGATCAAAATTCAGATATTTCAAAATTTTGTTTTATTCTCTATCGGGACAAAAAGTTGAAATACTGTATTGAAATATTTGTAGAATGGAAAATTCTGAAAATGTTTGATTCAGAAATGTCTGATTAAACATTTCTGATTAAAATGAAATGTTTCAACATTCCTGAATCAAAATGTTTCATTTTGGTTTGTTGAACTAATCAAAACATGTTGTCGAGGTCAGTTTGAAATTAATATGTCCTCCTGAGGTGCTTCAGTGCCTCCTGGGAGTTGTAGTTCTGGTGTCTCATGTCAAGATTCTCTTCTATTGGTCAGGCTCCCCAGCTGGACTATATCTCCCATAAAGCATGGGTCCCTGGTTCGATCCTTAGTGTGTTAGCAAAGATGACAGCTGTCATATAAGTCGGGGCTGAACTCTGCTGGACCTCAGCTGCTTGGGATGAGTTTCCTCTGTCCAGAGGAAATGTGTAAACCACAGAGATTGGCATCCCCGTCTGTGCCAATCCAGAGGATGTGATTCTATTACAGCTCCCAACTACAGAGTCTGGCTCTTTAGCTCAAGCAGTGGACACTCAAGAATCTATAGCTGTGGAGGCCCCCTGTTCAGTCTCTAGTGTGTTGGCCAAGGTGACATTTGTTACACAAACACAAAGCTTATGTGCAGCGTAAGTCCTATGCAGACCCTGCTGAATATAAATCTATCTTAAGTGGTGCATAGTCCTTGTCCTGGTCCTCTGGACAGGGGTACATTTCACCTGAAAAGGACACACTGAAGGGCGTGAGCATGGCTAAAACAAATGTATTAAAGAATTTGGGCAAGTATTTGCAGAGTTATTTTAAATAATATTCACTTAGCTCTAGTTGTATCTGTGTAAATAGAATAATAATAACGTGCTTCCTTTTTACACAGTAGCATACATTGAGCCCTATATAAGAGGTAAAATGCTCAAACCATTGTACGAGGTTTTAGACATGTGATTCCGATTGACTTTAGTGAGAAATGTGACTTGCAAACCTGTAAAATCCTGCACAAGGCTTTGAAAATTTACCCCAAGGGTCTGAGTGAAATTCTCGAACACAAAATCATTCAGCAGTATGGCTAGAAATGTTGGCTTTGCCATGGTACTGCAGTGTGCAAAGACTGGAAGAGAGTCACAATGGTATGAATAAAGATTGAAGTACTAGCCTTTCTTTCTTTTCTTTTCTTCTCCCCTCTTCAGCTTTCTCTGTATATTTTCCTGCTTTTGTGGGTTTAAAGCAGACCCTGGAATGTTACTTGAGTGTAGGGAGGGTTTTTTTTGATAGTTGAATATGCAGTGAATACAAAATAGCCATCTACAGAATGTGGAATTAATTCAGTGAGTCAGATGAAGACCTCAGAATAATAATGGTGACTCTACAAGTCACCTATGAAGTTATTCCTTCATAGGTGACATTAATTCTCTCTCTGCAGATGCATATTGCTATGTGTGTTCCTCTGTTTATACCTCAAGGAAGTGAAATAATAGTGCGCTGTTATTTTTATTCTGTTAAGATGTCAAAGTTTATCTCAGCTGCTGTTGTTTGAGTGTAACTGTCTTGGTTTAAATTAATGCTAATTTATGATGTCACTGGCATTCTGACAGTGGCTGTGTAATTGGGCTATGGAGATTTTAAAAAAAATGTATTGTGGGAATAGTAAGTACTAGACAATTTTATATACAGATAGGAGGACTGGTATGTAGCAGTAATCCTGCACTTCAATCTATTACCTAAGTGAGAATGTCACCTGATGTACAGTGAGAGAAACACAAAACAGCCTAAATACATGTAAAGTGGTGATCATAATTGTGCTAGAATATGAAACTTTAAATTAATAACATTTTCATTCTAAATATCCATGTGAAAAATGTTTTAATACGAAATATTTTAGGGGAGAGGGTGTTCTTGTTCCTTTTAGTGACAATTTTGAGATCTTTCCTTTGAAAAAATAAAATGCTGTTTTTAGTAATGCTGGGTCTGATCCTGGAGACAATTCTCATGGCTTTTAATGGTGACCAGTGTTCTACAGACTAGACTGATTTTTTTCCTTTAGTCCTCCTATCTGTATATAAAATTCACTCTCTTCTAAACTGGATAGTCTGGTGCTAAATATTGAAACCAAGGACTGGATTGTGCCTTGTAGGCACTATGCTGGTATAGTGCAGAATCACACCTTTCACATGGGAGATCCAGGAGCCTTGAATCCTTCATACTATACACACTCTTTTTTCACTTCTAGCTTTATTTCTGAATGAAAGAAGTTCAAACTTAGAAAGAGGAATATTGCTTACTGAGCCACATTCTAAGTCTGAAGTTTTTAAAATTCATCATGTTGAGTTATGTGACCACCAAAAAGATAAAACCAAACAATTTTGTTAACGCAGAAAAAAGATACATATTTTTTCATTCTTATCTAACTCAAAGGGCACATTGTTTTTGGTCTTCTTTAATTCTCCAATGAGGAGGGAACAATTAGAAGACATTTCAGACCAAAAGGAATTATTTTGTGAAAGTTATTAACAAATGAAAAGATTGGTTTACAATGGAATGTCTGTCTCAACTTTGGCAATGGTGCTACTACCCAATGCTACAGTACATCCTAGAGTCATAGAAGCCTGAGATAGGAAGTATCTACTGTATTAGGTCTTCTAATCCATTCCCCTGCCAGGGTCTGACTTATTCTATATTAAACTGGACAAACTGCTAGAAAATGTTCTGTAAGGAAAAATCTTATGTTAGCAGATACCTAGACGGGATGATCTAATTGGTCTTTTATATCTCTAAGTTTTTAGGTGCTTTGTCCAGTCCATACAAGGAATTCATTTTCCCAAATATTATCAAATTTTGCTAGTTTGCTACTTTTTTGGCTATTAAAGATTTTGTTAATTTGACAATTTAGAAGGGGATTTTTGACACTTTTAATAATTCCACCCATATGACCAATATAAAAAGAAACCGCTGGAGACTTCTAAATTAATGTGAATGTCAGCAGAAGCGCAACTAAAAATAGGAATATTAAATTAATTGTTGTACCAGACATTAATTATTCTATTTACTGTAGATCTCTTCAAATTGACTGGGCATCACCAGGACAACCAAATGGCATTATTCTTGGATATGATCTCTTACGTAAAGCCTGGCGGAGGTGTACTGCAGCCCAGCAGCTACCAATGAACCAGAGCAATAGACCATGCCTATCACTGGAATGTAAGATACATGAAAACATCTGTGGAGACCTGTGCTATCATCCAGAGTCTAAGGTACTTGCAAATTGCATATATTTAACTTAACAGTCAAATGCAAGATCATATATCTAGAACCAAAGAATGCTGACTGTACCCTGGAAAGCAGTGACACTGAAAAGTATTTAGGGGTCATAGTGGACAAACAACATAAGCTCCCAGTGCAATGCTGTGGCAAAAAGGCTAATGTGATTCTTGGAAGTGTGAAAAGGGGAATAGTGAGTAGAAATAAGGAGGTGATTTTTACCTCTGCGTACAATATTGTTGAGAATGATACATACTGTATCCAGCTCTGGTGCCTACATTTAAGTACCTTTACAGGGAAAAAGTATGAGGAACTAAAGGGCTCTTTAACCTATGGAGAAAAGCATAACAAGAACTAATACCTGGAAATGAAGTTAAGCCAGACAAATTCAAATTATTAATGAGGCACAATTTTTGACAATAAGTGATTAACCATTGGAACAAACTACCAAGGAGAGTGGTGGATTCTCCACTTCTCGATGTCTTCAGATCAAGGCTAGATGCCCTTCTGGAAGAGATGTTTTAATCAAACATAAGTTCTTGGGCTTTACAGGCATAAGTTCTGTGGGTGAAGTTCTATGGCCTTTGTTGAAAGAGGTCACACTAGATCACCTAATGGTCCCTTATAGCCTTAAAAACTATGGCTATATGAAGCGTTTTCTCTGAAAAAAATTTCCAGGAAAAGTATAAACTCCCTCTACTACAATTTATCCTAATCAGAAGAAATCCTGTAATTAACTAGTTAGTGTATGTGTACCACTGGCTTGAGTGGATACAATCAGAACTGCTCAGAGGTGTGTTAAATTCCTTATACTGCTAACGGAGATACTTCATTAGCTCAGGTAGTAAAAAGCTGTGCTTTTTGAAGTATATGAGGATCTAAGTCCTTTCAGCATTGTCACTATAAAGTTCTAAGTAGTCATAGTGTGAAGCATAGAGACCATAGTGAAGTTTCTAGGTTTGCAATTACACTGTAGTACACATGTCTATTTGAAAAAAAACTATGGGGAAAGTCATGAAGTGAAGCCTAAAGCTTTGTGGTGTACATTTAACTCTTATCATTCATCATAATTTTCATGACAAATATTAGTTTATTGGGATGATTAGGTGCCTTTCAAATTCTTCCTTGATTGAATGACTTGATTCTGCTTTACAGCAAATCTATTTAGATTCAGATACAAGTGGGTGGTTGTTTACATGACAATAATGAGCAACTCTGAATGGAACTATCATGATTTATCAGGAATATTTTTAAATTATGGTCATTTGCAGATTAATCAGTTGCTGTTCAGGAGTTGGATCAATAGTGCAGCCAGACAGTAGGAGTCTGTAAATGGTTTTTATTGACAAATGAGGTAGAAAACTCTTAGTTTGAGGGTAAGATTTAATGTAATGAAATAATGTCGCTATTTGTCAACAGCATCATCCCGCGTGCAGTGTCTAAAGCTAACTGTGTATTCACAAGATTCACTGTCAGAGGAGACAGTAATTAAGAAAGTGAGTTATTTGAGGGATTCAGATCAAAATATAAATTATTCCAGCTGACATAGGTTTAGCTTTGGGTTGCATTCAATAGAGTGCCATGCACCTAGCGTTTGTGAAACCTTACTGCTGACATATGAGCATGATTTTGTTCTGGAATGTAAATGAATTTATGGGTTTTTTTGTTTGTTAATTTTGAGAAACAAATGTAAACATTTAATAAAATGTAGCATGTGGATTATTTTTAATACTTCTAGGGATGATGTAAAGAAAAAAAATATGTATCTACCCCTTACCTATGCTACTTACACTGAATTATTAATACTGACTTTAAAAGATATTTTTTCTTAATGATTGCGGTTTACTTTGTTTTTCTTCACTCAGTTTTCACAGTGACTCTTAGGATGGAAAATTTCAGTCTCATATAGAGAGAGATACAAGGTGGGTGAGATACTATCTTTTATTGGACCAACTTCTGTTGGTGAAAGAGACAAGCTTTCAAGCTTACACAGAGCTCTTCTTCAGGTCTGGGAAAGGTATTCAGAGTGCTGCAACTAAATACAAGGTGGAACAGATTGTTTAGCATATGTAGTTAGTACATTCCAAGGTGAAGTGGCCCGATAACACTTCTCCAGTCATAGGATAACAAGGAGGGGCGAGGGGTTGTGGGTTTGTAACCAGATATAAATTGTTGTAACCAGATATAAATCTGGCGTCTTTATTAAGACCATGATTTTTAGTGTCTAACAAAGTTATGAGTTTAAGCTCCCAGGCTCATCTTTTGAAGGTGTTGTGCAGGTTTCCTTTAAGGACAAGGACTGAGAGGTCAGATAAGCAGTGATGGTTTTTTGAAAAGTGTTTGCCCATGAGTGATATGGTGTTTTTGTCTTTTATCATTTTTCTGTGTGAATTAATTGGAGTGTAATGATTATTTGGCTTCACCCACATAGTTGCTATTGGGGCATTTAGTGTACTGGATGAGGTATAGCATATGTTGTGATAGACCCAAAGAAGAGCTCTGAGTAGCTCTCTTTCACCAACAGAAGTTGGCCCAATAAAATATATTATCTCACCCATCTTGTTTCTCTAAGATCCTGGGATCAACATGGCTACAACACTTCAAACAGTCTTTTATAAATACTTGCATTTTCTATGTTTAAAATACATCTTTGTTAGTTTTATTTTTCTGCTATGGTGTTCATCACTGTACTAACTGAGCATCTCACAAACACTAATACATTTAGCCTCATATCTGCCTTCTGAGGTAGTTATCCTCATATGACAGACAGGACACTTCATGTTTGTAAGCACTACTGTTATTTACTGAGTCCACTCCACCAGAGGTTGTATTACTTATTGTTTGCACTTTGGTAGTGCTCAAGACTCCTAGAAGACCCTTCTTCTTCTTCTTCTTCTTCTTCTTCTTCTTCTTCTTCTTCTTCT